GGGGCCAGACTCGCCACCATCTTCAACGTCACATACAAAAAAGGATCCAGTAATTTTATCATGCCAGCTCGATCGGTAACCAACGGGCCAGATCTGGTTAGTGTCATGGTATGATGGCCGTGAGTCAATATTTCCAGCCGATATAAGAAAAAAATCTTGAAACTGAATTGGGAAGCCATCCTGAAAAACAGTTAAAATAATATTCAGAATGAGATTGGGATATAACTACCCATGCAAGGTTCATGAGACTTCCATATACACCAAGACCTGATAAGGAGCTGCTTTCACACGGCACTTGTATAAATGAATACAAAGCACAGAGAATGCCCCTATATATCTATTTTAGAGCCAAAGGCACAAGCAGAATTCATGAGCATCTGAAGGAGAAGAGGATGCAATTGACAAGACAAAAGCTGATCTATTGAATACTTTGTTTTATGTAAAGAAATTTTGTAGTGGTTTTGCATGAATCACTTAATTTTTGGAAATAAAATTTCTTTCACAAATCACATGATAATAATGAAACTATTATTAATTCATATTATCGAGGGTGGAAGGTGGATTTTGGTAAAATTGAATTGTAGTTTAAAGAATGAATACACATAGATTGCACACATACTCCTCGGTTATCTGGACCATCTACGGTCCCTGAACTGGACAAAAAACCCTGCCCATTGGCGCTCCTTGGAGTGCTTTGTCTTTGTCTACTGTTTCCAACAGTCAGAAATCTGGAGGTCTCCTTCACTTGATCATTTTGCAATTCATTTTGAACACCAAATCCATTACTTCCACTCTCATTCTCCACACAAGGACATTTTAACGATAACCCTAAATGGTGAGCAACATCCTCCTTTGATTTGATCCTAGTTCCATCTGGGGCAATATAGATGGCAGAGGTCGTGCAAATTTCTTCATCATAATCTAATTCCACACACCAACCTTCTCCCAAAACACCTTTCCTTTCAGAAATATACGCTCTCAGAGACTGCAGATATGCAATGTTTGAACTCTGAGGAGAATATTCAGTTCCAATATAATTACTAGTCCTAAGCCTCCCATCAAATGTTGGTCCCCCATGATACGAAGTATCTTTAAAACCTGATATAGCAGTGTTTGTCACGAAACATGAGGTCTTCCTAAGATTATTCTCATTATCAGCATATAAACAATCTGACTGTGTAACTGTGGTACAATGGCTGGAAGGAGAAGTAAAGAGCGTAGCTTGTATTCTGCAAGGTAAAAACGTGAGTATTAATACATTTGAGACAGAAAAACCTGTTGTAAGGAGTATAAAATAGCAGGCAAACTAAATAAATAGCAGTTCATTCAGTATTTTAACATACAAGAATATCTGAAAGGCAATAATCTGACAAAGATACATGTGCGAAAAACCAGAAAAACAAGCGAGTTCATAATCATTCTAATTCAGCTTGTGGCACCCAAGTAGGACATGCATTGGGTATACACAAGCAAACCTCCAGGTTCTACCATACATGGACATGGAAAAATTAATGATTTATATAACAGAATCTAAAATAGATCTGAACTCCATCTTCAAAATGATCCCAAAGAACACACAGAAGGTTCAGCAGCAAAACCAACAGTGAAAAATAAACACGACCAAACAAGAGAAGAACCCAAAAGTAAGGCAGAAAAACCTAGTATCAGAAAGGAGCAGCCAAACAATAGTGATGCTGTTACCAACAAAAATTTCCAACCAAAGGCCATTGCCAACAACAGGGTAGCAACCACGAACTATTGACGAGCCCAAATAGTGCAAACAGATAGGTTTTGTCATCCAAAAGCAAAAGAAGTTAACTTTAGTATATAGCTGGTAGAATAAAATTCCCACTGCCCTAAAACAGCTGGTCTGTAACAATAGTCTAGAAGCTAGATAATACTGATTCAGGACATTCTAACACCCACAAGCTTTCTTCTGATTTACTAAAAAGGAAAAAAATACATTAATTTAAGCAGCCAATATTACTCTAATGAGGGGACAGATCCGGTAAATATAGAATTTCTACTACATTTTGTGCTTATTGCTTACTTATGTGCAGCCAATGGCATTGGCAGGATACATGGAAGGTCCAGTATAGCTTGAACCTGCAACAACCAAGGCAACAGTTGACATGATAAGCATTAATTTCTCATGTGGCCTGGCTGTCTGAGGACAGGTTAAGGTAGGGCCTGCTCGGAATTTTGACCCTTTTTCTCAATTGATTAATATATAAGGGTAGGTATGCAAGGAGGTGAAAACTAATCCTTCGGAGTTTACTTCTCCTGAGATTGGGTAAGGGAAATGATAAGGGGCTCTTAAACCAGGCTAAAAGTAGATTGTTACAACCCTTAAGGACACTGAGAAGGACAGCAAAAGTGATCGTGAAGGGGAAAACACCCTCAATAATTGCTCCAGTGTTCATGCCAACTTTTAGAAAGAAACCCTCTCAAATCTAAACACAATAGCCTCATGGAAAATTCTGTAGAGAATTTCTTGAACTGAATGCCAAAATCCTAAAAGAGTGACCACAACTACACAATTCCCAGATGCTTGTTAATTCATCAATATTCTAGTAAATCTATAACAAAAATCATCAATACCCAGATTACTTCTTCTATTTCAACCCAATGTTTCCCGGACGACGTAGCAAGGAGATAATCAAATACCCAACACCAATTAATTAATAACATCCAAGACCATGAAACCTTGCAATGAAATTGACTAATTCAGATAAAAGTTCGTAATAATAAGCATTCAAAGAAGTCTACCAATTACGTTACATTTGAATCGGAAAAGATGATGAAACGTGCTAAATCAAATATATCAATATAGAATTTACCAATTGAATTCATGTTTTAATTGAAGACCACCACCCAAAGAGACCGTCCATATTTGATCCATCCACCCCATTAATGCACCAACCCACCCCCGCAGCCTAACCAAAGGTCAGACAGCAGAAGCAACATCTACATTCACCAACCCCACAAACACATGGCAAGAAGAAAACTCAAAAGAGCCAACAAAAAGAAAATCCATACAATTTTCAAAATATATATTCATAGGAAAACTATATGAATGTCTTGCAAAAAGAAATTGGCTGGACAAGTGGCACAAGGCTGCACTAGAGAGCGGAAGCCAAAGTGACTACAAAAACAACAATATACCCAAAATTCTAACCTATAAAACCTTAAACAAAGGAAAGGACTAAACTACCATTAATAAAGAACCTAAAGATCTGAGTTCATGCTTTCAATGAAGACCACCAGCCAAAGAGACTGTCCATATTGGAGCCAGCCACCCAATAACTACACTAACCCGCCCATAGCCTTGCCAAAGGTCAGGCAGCAGAGGCAAAATCGACAGCGACCAACCCCCCTACCAACACATGGCGAGAAGATAACAAACATAGTCAAAGAATGTGATAAGCCCCCAATTAAAATTACTTATACAAGGCGTACGAAGGTCAAGCAAGCACAAGGTGGGAAGGCCAGCATGTGACAACAAGACTCAATGGAAATATCCAGAAGGGATACCGAGTGACTAAATCTGTTAGCAAGTTTGTTAAAGTTAGTTGAGGAACGGGTATAAATAAACACGTAAGGGGGGAAGAGGGATAAGCAGAAATCTAGTGAGAAAGTAGAGAGATGGATACTTGTATTTTTCCTTAAGTTCTTTCATTTACAGCATCGTTCTTTTCTAATCCAGTTATAAAAACTTTTTTCTTAGCACTCACCCTTGGTTACAGTGGGTTTGGATTTAATTCTTGAATTGCATTCTATCAAAGTGGATTTAATTACTGATAAATTTCCAATTCCAATTATTGACACTGGACGAACTGGGAGGAGCCACCATATTCTCCAACATAGACTTGAAATCAGGATACCACCAAATTAGGGTGAGGTCAGTGGATGTACCAAAGACAGCTTTTAGAACCCATGAAAGTTATTATCAATTCGTTGTCATGTCTTTTAGGCTAACTAATGCACCGGCCACTTTCCAATCACTCATGAACAACATTTTTAGAAGTTACCAGCGGAAGTTTGTGTTGGTGTTCTTTGACGACATTCTTGTTTATAGCCGCACAAACGAGGAGATAAAAGTCATTTGAGAACGATGTTGCAAGTGCTATCAGAAATCCAGCTCTATGCTAATGAGAAAAAAATGTCAGTTCGGCCAACGGGAGCTAGAGTATTTGGGGCATGTTATTTCAGCGTTCGGGGTGGCAGCGGATAAGTCCAAGGTGGTAGCTATGAGAGACTGGCCCCGACCAACAACAATCAAGGAGCTAAGAGGATTTTTAGGTCTCATAGGGTACTATCGTCGGTTTGTGAAACTCTATGGGAACATAGCTTGGCCCTTGACGCAATAGCTAAAGGACGGTTTTGGGTGTCGGATGAGGCTGAGGCAACATTTATTAAGTTGAAAAATGCCATGATAACAGTACCGGTATTGGGATCACCCAACTTCAGTCAGCCATTTGTGGTGGAAACTGATGCATCTGGGTATGGAGTAGGGGCCTCCTCATGCAAAACAAGAGACCCATTGCATACTTTAGTCAAACTCTTCCTCCGAGGGCTCAGTGTAAGTCAATATACTAAAGGGAACTTATGGCCATTGTATTAGCAGTACAAAAATGAAAACGTTATTTGCTGGGTCGTAGATTTGTGGTGCGAAATGATCAGCGTAGCCTCAAATTCTGATTGGAGCAAAGGAAGGTGAACCAGGAATACCAAAAGTGGCTCACCAAACTTTTGGGATTCGACTTCAACATCGAATATAAGGTCGGTCTGGAAAATAAGGCGACTGATGCACTTTCAAGGGTGGATACAATGGCAACGCTCATGGCCCTAAGCTTGCCCCAATCTTTAAAACTAGCCGAAATCAGGAAGACAGGAGAAGAAGATGCTGACCTGGGCCGCATGATAAGTTCCCTAAAAAATAGCCAAACACAATTTCAGGGGTACTCTTTGCTAAGAGATAACCTGTTCTATCATAGCAGACTAGAGCTACCACGAGACTTACAATTTGTGCGTCTAGCCTTACAGGAAGGGCATGACAGCAACGTAGGAGGGCACGAGGGATTTATGAAGACTTATAGGAGAGTGGCAGAAAAAAATTTGGAAAGGAATGAGACGGGACGTCCGGGCCTATGTTGCGGCATGTGAAATTTGTCAGCAACATAAATATTCTACCTTAGCACCAGCAGGACTGCTTGACCCACTGCCCATTCCTGATAATCTATGGGAAGACATCTCGATGGATTTTGTAGAAGGGCTGCCAAAATCAGAGGGGTTCGACTCGATCTTGATAATAATAGATCGTTTAAGCAAATATGCACATTTCATTGGCCTGAACCATCCTTTTTCAGCCCCATCAGTTGCTGCAATTTTTGCTAAAGTGGTTAAACTTCATGGAGTGCCTCGTTCTATAGTTTCGGATCAAGACAAGGTGTTCATGAACCAGTTCTGGAGTGAGATTTTTAACTTGCATGGGACCTCATTAAAACACAGTTCTGCATACTACCCACAAACCGACGGCCAGACAAAGGTGTTGAGACATATGTACAGTGTTTTGCCTCAGTGAAACTAAAAAGGTGGTATCAATTTCTTCATTAGGCTGAATACTCTTATAACACCTCTTATCATGTATCAGCCCAACTCACCCCTTTTCGCATTCTATATGGAAGCGATCCACCCCCATTAATTCGCTTCAAGAGAGGTACCATAGCCATATCATCTTTGGAGCAACAAATGATGGAACGAGATAAAGTTGCAGATGAATTGAAGTTACATCTCCATAAGGCTCAGCAACAAATGAAGAAAGTAGTCGACAAACATAGGAGGAATGTGGAGTATGTGGTGGGAGATTGGGTTTATTGAAAATGTGGCCGTATAGACGTAAGTAACTTATGGTACGCCACAATGAGAAGTTAGCCCCTCGGTACTATGGATTGTTTGAAGTATTGGCAAGAGTGGGAAAAATGGCTTATGGCTTATCACTTATCACTACCAGCTGATGCCCATGTCCACCCCGCTTTCCATGTTTCGCAATTAAGAAAGGTGGTCGGGAGTGCTCCAATAACTTGTTCCCTACCCCCTTAAATTGGTGAAGATTGGGAGTTACTTGTGGAACCAAAAATTATGCTAGGATTCAAACAACCACACTAGGGTACAATAGATGCTATGGAAGTCTTGATTCAGTGGAAAGGTTTATCCACTATGGAAGCAA